GTGTCAGAGAGAGAGAGAGAGAGAGAGAGAGAGAGAGAGAGAGTCGGGGCCCCGCTGTCATGTGTTTCCCTAGCAGTCCACTAGAGTGCAGTATGCAGTGTCACGGCAGGGGGCTTCTCTGCCTGTCTCTAATGACGTTTGCTCCTTCTGCAGTTTGTCTGTAATAGGCAGTTGTTTGATTACCTAGCAAGTGCTCAAACATCTATGCTGGTCCAAAGGCAGAGAGTGATAGCAGTGTGAACTCTCAGTCAAAAGTTCCTCTTGTGTGTTAAGTGGTTCTGTTCGGTCTACAGAATTCCGCTTAAGTAACAAACTTCAGACCTACAAAGCTAGTAATGTTAGTAATGTTTAGTAATGTTTTAGTGATGTTCTATCCTTTAGAAAAGTTCGTGGGACCACTGAGAACCCCAAAAGAATATTTAAATGATCAGAAAATGTTTACATGCTATCTTTGCAACCCATTCCTGTGTGGTATAATTACAAACTGCAGATTTGTACGATTTTACTCCGGGTCTTTCGTAATTTTGATTTAATTGTGGATTTGATGTCTAATTAGGTAATTATTTTAAATGGCAGGCTTAGAAGGCGGGATGTTTGGTGGTAGGCAGCTTGTGTTTGAAGCTGTTTTTATTTCTTCTTTTTTTGACAACGTGGTTTATTTCTCATGTTGCGCTGTCCCGTAAATCTGCGAGTCTCTGGCGAGGCCGTTAGCGGAGACATCTGCAGGTTTAATGGGGTCGGTAATGGCTGCGGCGGCCCAGGTTAATGCTGCTTTCTTACTGGGACGGTTTTTTCCGGATAATTTTACGGCCCCCCGTTTGACTGAGGCCGTTATCGGAGCCTCTTGACACGGGCAGCAGTCGGCACAGAGACGGGTTATTAACACGCCGGTCACCAAAGGTGTCGTTTACATCCCCCTGGCTGGCTGGCTGCGTGTGCCGCTGTGTTACAGGGGTGTCGGCTGGTTAGATATGATGTAGGGTTAAGTAAGGCATGCTTTGGAATACGCTGCTATGGGGGTTGATGTAGTGTCCCCTTGCTTTTCGCACACAGACACAGACACGCCTCATTTGTACCGAAGGGACAGGCCAAGGTTTCCTCCGTCTCGGAGGAAACACTAAGCCATTGAGACATCGCTTAATGATGTTGATGAATATTTAGCAGACGGGCGACTTCTCCCCTCCCTGGGGCCGTAATACGGAGGCAGGAATTTGCATATATTACCTATTATATTCTGAATTCGGCTTGAATGAGCTCAGACAAAGAGCCACTATTTCGTTCCCTTTGTATGGCTCTCCTCGATCCCCGCGCCAATGCGTATCAGTGACCCGCTGTAAGGTGTTTACGGTAATTGGCTCACACTGGGGTCCCCTGCTGGGTCTCCTTGATCATGGAAATCTAAGATGGCAGCTCTCGGAGTTTATTTTATTTTTACGGGCCCGATCCCTCCGACCAGGGGACCTGGCGCAGCCCCCGAGCGCACACGTGCAACTTAAAACGCCAAGCTGGGGTCCCTGGCGAGCCTTTTGGGGGTCACGCTGGGAACACCTTTGGGTTTTAATTCGTCCCTGGTGCTCGGTGTCCTTTGATATGGATGCGTTTCGCCCCCCCTGCGTACTGGGCCTGTAAATCTCGCTTGACCCCTCTTGTGCAATGCGAAGCCCAGGGGAGAGATGGGATGCCATAGATCAGCAGCCGGCCGATCCGATCGCGTTGCACCGATCCCAGAGCCCGCCTGCTGCACCGCCGCTGGTGATCCGCAGCCTGTGGGGGGTGTTTGTAAAGCTGTGCTTGTTTGTCTGTGCTTATAGTAACTTCTTAATTAAACAATAGTGCCGGTTTTGTCCTGTGGTTCCCATTAGCAAACTGTGGTTAATGGAGCTTAGGGTAGAGTCTTCCTGGTCATTGTGGAGTCAGGCTACATCCTTCTTGCGGGCTTGTTAGTGAGGCTTCCTCCTGCTGCTTTTCTGACACATCCGTCTCCCTTAGGAACCCTGGGTGTTGTCACTGAGGTGACTTTGAAGATCCGGCCCCTTCCAGAGTACCAGAAATACGGCTCCGTGGTCTTTCCGAATTTTGAGCAGGGCGTGGCTTGCTTGAGAGAGGTGGCGAAGCAGGTAAGGAACTACTTTCAAGGAGGCATTGCACTTTTAAAACCAGCCAGATGGGGGAGCCATTACAACCAAATTATTATAATATACACTGTATGGACAAAAGTATTGGGACACACCTCTTAATCATTGGATTCAGGTGTTTCATTCAGACCAATTGTTACAGGTCTATAAAATCAAGCAGCTAGCTATGCAGCCAGGTTTACAAACATGAAAGAATGGATCGTTTTGAAGAGCTCAGTGAATCCAAGCATGGTACTGCCATAGGATGCCATCTTTGCAATAAGTCAGTTCGTGAAATTTCTTCCCTGCTGGATATTGCACAGTCAACTGGAAGTGGTATTATTGCAAAGTGGAAGCATTTAGGAACAACAACACTCAGCCATGAAGTGTCAGACCATGTAAAGTAACAGGGCGTGGTCGCAAAGTGCTGAGGTGCATGGTTTGCTAAAGTCGCCTACACTGAGTTAACAACTGCAGAGTTCAAAACTTCCTCTGGCAGTAACCCCAGCATGAACTCTGCACTGGGAGCTTCATGGACTGAGCTTCCATGCCTGAGAAGCTGCAACCAAGTGCAATGCCAAGCGTTAGAAGGAGTGGTGTAAAGCATACCGCCACTGGACTCTGGAGCAGTGGTAACTGTGTTCTTTGGGGTGGTGAATCACACGTCTCTGTCTGGCAGTCTGATGGATGAGCCAGGGTTTGATGGATGCCAGAAGAACGTTACCTGCCTGACTGCATTGTGCCAACTGTAAAGTTTGCTGGAGGGGGGTAATAGTATGGGGTTGTTTTTCATGGGTTGGACCAGTTAGTCCCAGCGAATGGAACACCTAATGCTTTAGTATACCAAGATGCTTTGGACAATTCTATGCTTCCAGCTTTGTGAGAACAGTTTGAGGAAGGTCCTTTTCTGTTCCAGCATGACTGTGCCCCAGTGCACAAAGCAAGGTCCATAAAGAGCCCTGACCTTAATGCCATCGAACACCTTTGGGATGAACTAGAATGGAGATAGCAAGCCAGGCCTTCACCTCCAACAACAGTCCCTTCCCTCACTAATGCGTTTCTATATATTTAGTATATATATTTAGTTAGTATATACATTTTGTGAATTTGTGGATGTGCAGTCATTACTGCTGCTGTCGTAAATTCAGCTACAGCTTCCACACATCTGGGTGGCTATGGTGCTGTCACATGCTGTCCTCTTGCACCCCCCGTGTGATCACATACTGGGGGGCTCCGGGGAACACCTCAGCCTTTGAATATGTGTCAAATCATTATTTGCCTGTTTTGCTTTGGCGGGGCTCCAGTTCCGTCACTGACCCGCGGGCCGGTTCCCCTTACCGGCTCCGGCTTCACTCACTGCCATAGATCACGGTATGTAAATGAGCTGATGCCTGTCAGGAGCCCTAAAGAACAGTCAAAGACACAAGTGGCACCTGGCTGTGTTTTGTATATGAGTCCTAACCTCCGAAACGCAAACCGACGTGTGAGACGTCCGTTACCTTTATAACGTGAGCTTCACTCTGATCCTTCCAGAGGTGCGCTCCTGCATCCATTCGTCTGATGGACAACGCCCAGTTCCAGTTTGGTAAGTGCATGTGTGCATGCGTGTACATGTTCGGACACGTGTGCATGATACTTCCAGGGGGGCCAATACACCAATATTACCTCTTCACCTACTGCATTGGGTGTTTTTAGACTTTGGTCTCCTTTCTGAGCCTTTCAGCCCCCTTCTCTTCCATCACATGTGATGTTCCTAAGTGACCTGCTTTGATCATGGCCTACCCTTGTCAGGTGAAGGCTGCGGGCATGATGACCCCATCTCGGCCCCCTCCGCGTAGGAGAGACCAGCTGCCTGTAATTGGAGGACTCTTAAGGATACTTTTTTTTTCCCTTCCTCCTAAATTGGACTTTTACGGTCCAGCGATCGCGCCTTTGATCCGGGGCCTGGTTTCCTGTCCCACCCCATCCCCCACCCCCGTATCCATATGTATGGTCATCGCAAAGGTCCAGCCACACCAGGTGGATCGGCCTGGTTTTTTCGTGCCAGTTCCGGCTGCCATTATCCAAACCTGTGCCGTGGGGTCAAAGGGCCGATTGGTATCACCGTTTGCGAAGGAGCTGTGTTTTCGTACAGATTAATCTTCTACTCAGGGGAGGCCTGTCGAGGGGGTTGTTTTTTTTCCATTGAAAAAGAAGGCATTCTGAATCAAAATGGAAATAATTAAGAGACACAGCGACCGTGGCGTGCCTAATAGACAGAGCAGCGTAAATGGGCTGTTGAGCCTCCATGGAGTCGCTCGTTACTTTTCCACCGTGATTGATAACTTTCGCATGCGGTCCGGCTCACCGCTCACGGCCGTTCGACGGCACTTTATTGTCCGATTAGGAATAAATCAAAACACGCGGCAGAGGGAGACGGATATCGCCGCATCAACCAGACCCCCCCCCCCCAGAGCCAGGGTTATTTATTGGTTTTGTTCCCCGCAGTCTCTCGGCAGCGCTGAAGTTATTCAAATGCTGCCATTTATTCACACCCACCATTGTTTTACGGGCAAATAAATCTGACAGGGTGGGAGGAGAGAGCAGAAGCTCAAATGCGGGGTTAAAATCTATATCGATTAGCTCCTCAGGCTGGTAGCATGGCGCCCTCTCCACACCTGGCATCCTGACCTTTGACCTCACAATTTGCAGGACACGCCCTGAAGCCTCAGGTCTCCTCGATATTCACATCCTTCTTGGACGGACTCAAGAAGTTTTACATCACCAAGGTACAGCCTCCGCCCCTGGTGTGCCTCTCGCCCCAACCAACCCTACCTGTCTGACTGAGCTCCACATCCCCCCCCCCAGTTTAAAGGGTTTGACACCCACCGACTCTGTGTGGCCACCCTGTTGTTCGAGGGGGACCGCGAGAAGGTCCTGCAGCACGAGAAGCAGGTGTACGACATCGCGGCCAAGTTCGGGTGAGTCCACACCTCGCGCCCCTGCCTCGCATTAGCGCATTAATACGGCTTAGCCACTAGAATCCCGCCAATGATCCCCGTTGGGTTAGAGACAGCCGTTCAGGCCCCCACGAGAGCGTGTGCGCGGTGACGCCATGGTGTGCCACTGACCCCCACGGCCCCTCCCCCCCTCCCGCGAGGCCATTGACCGTCTCATTGGCTCGTTTGCCGAGTGAGTGACAGCCTCCAGGGTCCGAGCGGGAGGGCCACCCCTAAACGGCGGTGTGATGGATCACCCGCGGCCGTCCCCTTGTCGACGGCCGTTTGGCGCCTCGCTCCAGGAAGGGTGTGAGTAATGTGGGGCTGGCTGAGCCCTGCCCGCTTCGATTGATCGTGAGGCTGATTGATGGGGGTACCCTACTGAGAATAAGTTATCTGTCACAGGCAAGGAGAGATGCCCCCCCCCCCCCAAAATGCACACCCAGGTCCCAACGTGCCTGAGATAGTGCTCCTGTGCTGTTGTTGGCTTGTGTGAGTTTATCTGCTATCAAACCCAATGACATTTACACAGAGTGAGAGCAGGAGCTGTGGGTGGAGAGTGTGATAACTCCTGTTTGCACATCTGCAGGTGTGTGTGTGCGCGTGTTTCACACTGTGACCTTCCCAAGGGTCCGGTTCAAACTTATTATCCTGAAAGATGGAGGAAATTTCCCCAGTCATTCCTGTCCCTTTGGAATCAAAATCTGACACATTTGAGACATAAAGATTCTTTCATGTTCTTTTGAGACTGTTGCATAGTTTATAAGGCTCAGTATGTTCTGCTTTCCTGAACATTAATGTTTTCAGGGGATGTTTTAGAGCACACAGGGTGTAAGTTATGTAACGTGTGCTTGATGAGTTCAGACTAGTTTTTCATTGCTGAAAGGCTCATGTTTGGGAGAACCCGGAAACGTGGCGGTTTATCGTGCTGCCCCAAGAACATCTGCTCACATTTATCGTCCTCCTTTCAGGGTGATTGATTCGACTGTGTTTTCTGAATGATACTTGATTCCGACCGACAAAAAGGGGCGAATCAATTAAGACTTCCTCTAATGAGTTTTTCCTGATCTGATTAGTTGGTAAATGAAAATTTGATCGCTGCCCACACCCTCCATTCCCCCCCCCCCGGTCCTCTCCCCTTTCAAAGGGGCCTGCTATGATAGATGGACGGGCAATCGGCAAGCGGACGTGGCTGAAGGCCCCACCATGGACCTGGGCCTTGCATGAGTGGCGTCTGCGGGGTAGGGGGGCGGGGAACGAGTGAAAGGACCGTGTTAAACATTAACCCTGCTGTGTGCCTCCAGGGGTCTGGCAGCTGGAGAAGACAATGGGCAGAGAGGCTACATGCTGACCTTCGTCATCGCTTACCTCCGGGTGGGTCCCTGTGATTGACACACAAAGGCCCGCCGTGGCTTCGGCCCGATGGACCGGCTCTGTCCGCTCACATGCGTTGCCACGGAGGCTCAGGTTGAGGAATCTCTGGAATGGGATTGTTCCCTGGCTTCGGTTAAGGGACGGAACGTTAACTACGCACCATTGTGGGGGGAGACGGCATGTCCTTTTGAAAGCCCGCTTTGTGGACCACTGCATCCCATCTCCCAGATATCCTTTACTGTCTCTGCTTGTCACTCACTCCCTGGGTGTTCGTCCTTCTCCTGCAGGACTTGGGGATGGATTACTACGTGATCGGAGAGTCATTTGAGACGTCAGTGCCTTGGGACAGGTAACGTCCGTAATGTAACTGTTTCTGGGCGAGATCACTTAGCGTTTCCACTTGCCATCTATCCCTGGGTAACAAGTGGTGCTACGGGCAGCTGTCAGCATGACCTTTGACCCTTATGGGCCCAGTGGAGTCTTACGGAGCTGGGGCTCTGTGGCCAGGGGTATGATTGGCAGAGAAGGAGCGTGGGGAGCTGTGTGAAGTTGAAAATGGCCCTTACCGTTCTCACGCTTATAGGAAGCCGTGCCCCTCCAGCCCCCGCACCTTGGGGCCGAGAAAGGCACGCAGCTCTGAGGTACATCCTGGCGTGAGGGAAAAGTCTGGAAAGCAGATGTGGATGCAGAGGGGTCTGGCTGGGACACGGGCTCTGATGACATTCCCGAGATGCCAAGTTTTTTTTTTTTTGGGGGGGTGGTGGTTGGTGGCTGTTTGTTGGGAAAGTAACAGGATTTACAAGCTGATGTAAACCACTGTCAGAAACAGAGGGGGATTGCTGATTGGCTGGAAAGCAGGCGGATTGCTTCATCCTTCGTAATTAGATTTCACCATTCACTGGCTCCATCTGTGCCTTGGCACTGGGGAGAGTCCCCCCCCCCCCACCCACCCACCCCAGCTAGCAGGAAGGAGCAGGACGGAGATGGATCGCGGGCACCTGTTATATAAACTTAGTCTGCTGATCCAGAGCCCCACTCTCTCACATATATGCTCTGGGTCACACGTGCGCCGCCCCGCTTCCTCTGACACTAAGCCCCGTGTCAAACACGCCACCATAACACGGCTTCTCAAGCCTGCCTCTGCCAAGGTCGTGTCCTCTGAGCGTCGTGTAGCAGCCGCCCTCCCCGCCGCCACATCCGGCCAAGGAAGGAAGTGGAAATCTCCAGTCCTCATGTGTCTAGGGGGGGTCGGCTTCTGTCCCTTGGCTTGGCCCCCCTTGTTTTTACTGCATGCAGGTGGCACACTAACGGTTCCCCGTCGCTATTCCTAGGGTCCTGGATCTCTGCAGGAACGTCAAGGAGCGGATCACGAGGGAGTGCAAGGAGAGGGGGGTGCAGTTCCCCCCCATGTCCACGTGCAGGTGCGTGTGGGTCGGGCCAGTGCGGGCTGGTACTCGCTCAGGGAGGGCCCAGTGGGGGCCCAGTGGGGGCGAGCTGCCTCCATACTCCCTGTAGGGGGGGCTCCTTGGATGCCATGTGTTTATACTCCGAGTCCTGATTCTCTTCTCCAGTGGTGCAGTACCCTCACCATCCCAGTGTGCTGAGATGGTATCTTAGACGTGAGCCCCTCTGCGGTTTGCACTCCACGCCCTCTGCTACCGCGCAGAGATAAGAGTGATCTTTTTTTTTTAACCATTCGCTTTCCCTCTGGCGGGGCCGTGACAAGATTGATCTGCCTGTTTGACCCCTGTGAAGGTCGCGGGGCAGAGCACCGCGGTACGATTTATCCTGAACAGGCCCGTGTCCTGTCCTCCTGGCACCTCCGGCACAAAACCCCCTTCCTTTCCTCCAAAGAAATGTAACTATAGATCTCTTAATCACTGTGTGATTAACAGAGCTTGTGTAAATCTGGTAATACTCCTCTGATATACATTTTTTAGATGTAATAAATTTGTGAAGTTTATCATTTTTAAATGTGATCTGTCACGGGCATGACACAAAAATGGAAAGTTAAGCCATAACGCTTTATAAATTAAATGAGACGTGTCTTGAACTTTTGGGAGGATGTTAAATGGCAGGGCCCTCAGAGGGTAGCTCTGTTAATCTGGTGAGAACCTCCCCCCCCCCCAAATGGCCCTGTGATGTCACATTATTAAACGTGAAGGCAGGGCGTCTGGCCACCCCTGCGTTTGTGTCGCACTCCGGGGTCAGAGAGATCTGATGCCCCTGTTATCAACATGCAGTAACATTCATAGCATTCAGCGTCGGGGGGGGCGGGTTAGAACTCTGTGCCAGTGAGGGGAAGGTTCCCAGTTCTCAGCTCCCAGGGCCAGCAGCCTGATGCCACTGAATCTATCCCCAACTGCATGAGGGTCTATGCACACTGGCTGGCCCTGCACTGCGACCCCCGGTCTTGCTCTGTCTGTGTCTCATGGACAGCAAGATAGTGGTGAAAACTGACATGAATAAAGTATCACTGTTCATCATTCTGTTCTGCTACCCTTACGTTCGCTTTGGCGCACTAATTCCAGACCATGAGACCATGTGTTCGTTAGCGAAGACCTGACGGAGCGGCTCGCTTCCGAGTCCTGATGCCCGTGTCCTTGTGCCCCCCACAGGGTGACCCAGACGTACGATGCCGGCGCTTGCGTCTATTTCTACTTTGCCTTTAACTACAGAGGCCTTGCCGACCCTGTGCATGTTTACGAGCAAGTGGAGGTAGGAACCCCACGCCCCCCCCCCCCCCCCCCACCAGGAGGCCAGCGATCAACAACATGTTTTAATGTATATCTCTGAGAGGCATATTGATATGACTGAGAGGCTCCAAATCATATAGCTTGCCCCCATGCCCCCCCCCCCCCCCCCCCCCCGCCCCGCCACGTTGCCACAGCTGGGGTGTGATGTGTAACACTGACAAGCTGGATCACTTTGTGTAATAGTGACATAAGGGGACATACAGTATCACTTTGAGTAACCTCGCTGCCATGGATATTGGTTGTACGTTGTCTTTGTGATGGATGTCACTTGCACCTCCTGCAGGAGGTGCCATGTTGCTTTTTTGCGGATGGCATGTTTGACCGGCAGTGTCTCCTCTGTCCTCAGCACGCAGCCAGAGAGGAGATCCTTGCCAATGGAGGGAGTCTCTCCCACCACCACGGAGGTATGGCACTGCACGACGAGGGGTCCCGGTGGGGTACCAGCGCGGGGATTTGGGCCGGAGCCCGGATCAGGTTTTGAGGCATATGATTAACAAGGGCCTATGGAGTAAGGAGCGCCTTTGTTGTCTGGACGGGCCGATTTGCCCCGATCGCTCCATGGCGCCCTTGTGGCCTGTTGGTTTGACCCCCTCATCCCCGGACGATGACGGCGGGTCCACCAGAGTTAGAGTGCTCCCGTGCCTCTTCTGTCACGCGTCCAGCCCGCTTTTCCTACGGAAGACAAATAGGCCAGTGGCTGCTCTTTGTCTCCCCGCCGCCAAATCGAGGCGCGAGGAGGAGGCGGGACGCGGCAGTCCTTGCTGCCGGGGCCAAACGAGCAGGCTGTCTTATCGGCAGCGCCATTCGGCTCACGGTTTCCACACACCGCCGCAGGCGATTAATCTCGCCTGTCAGGGGACGCCGCTCGACGCACCAGTCGGGATATTAAATCGGCGTTTTTATCGGGGAGGGCAAGAATTAAAGGAGCACTAATGAATTCGTGGCGGGGGGTGGGGATCAGGATCTGGCCGTGTTCTCTGACCCCTGGGTGCGCATGACGCCCTCCATAGCGTGCACACACATACCCCGCTAGCAGCCCCGCCGACGCCATGGCATGAGCGGGGGGGCGGGGGGTATTGACGTGGCTCCTCTCTGCGAGGCGCCGTAATTGTGATTAATCACGACGGGCCGCGCTATCTGGGTGCGGGCAGGCCTGCGTGTCGGGCCCACAGTGCCACGGTGACGGATGGGGCCGCTCTCACTGAGTTTTGTGTATCGGGGAGAACAGATGTAGTCTGGGACGGCGAGGTGGGGGGCCACCGCAGGAAATATAAATTATTTTTAACCTGTGTTTACACCAGGTCCTGCTGCCGCATGACCCCCCCCCTCCACACACACACAGAATAAACACACTCAAGATACTGGGAGCTGGTACCAAAATGCTTACAGAGTTGTGCCCGATTTTAAAATAAACTCTGCACAAGTATAACTGTCTTTGAAAAGTATCCAGAGTTTGTTTTAAGGGTGTTATAATATTTAACATGGTAGAATTTACATCAGAGGAAGTTCTCTAGCTCTTGCTTTTTTTGAGGAGAACATCTACCTTGGTTTAGAGATTTGGGTCCAGAAGTCATGAAAGTCCAAAAACAAAAGGGTGAAAAGGAGAGCCGTCCCATTGGAGAATGACCCAAAGAGTCCTTGTTTGGCTGGACAACTGAATACGGTGTCCCAGGTTTTGTTCCTTGCATTTGAATTTGTAAGGAGCCAAAGTGTTTGTCACGGTGAAAGAGTGGCTGAAGACTCCACTCTGCCGCGAAGCCAGGAGGGCCGGGCAGCCGTCTGTAAGGAGAGTTAATGGTTTATTACGGCTCTAAAGGTCCAGCAGAAAGGTTACGGGGCATTAATCACCCCAAGAGTCCATCGATCACGCCTGCCAGTGCCCCGAGTGAACCCTGCGCTCTGCCCTTTTAACTTTGATACTGCTCTTGTCCTGTTAAACTGACAAGGGGCTATGGGACCCTCCCCCCCCCACTCCCTTTTATGCTTCTGGACCACATTTGTCAAAGCGCGTCCCTGCATGCAGACCGGCTCGTCTCGGCCCCTGTTGGGGTGTATCAGGTGCCGCTACCTGTCCAGAGCCCAGAAACACGGCTGCTGCAGAACTTGTAAAAGTAGAGGTTTGTTTGTGTTTGTTTTTAAGTTTAAATCCACTTCACGCTACTCATTATCTTTATGCTTTTTAGCATCTCGTGTGTCTGTTTATCGAAGAAAACAACAGATTCAGCCCCGGAGGCATAGAGGTTGTTGTGTGCGCTGATTAATTTTCCTTTTCTTAATAGTTTTATGGTGGGGGGGGGGGGGCGTGGGTAGGTAGGGGGCTGGGGGTGGTTTTGGTTCTGTTAGGAAGGTAGCGAGTGCATCGCCGTGGATGTTTCGACTGCCTGGTCAAAGCTCCACTAGATTTATTACGATAGCGGAGAGTGGAGGAAATATGACAAGATGGATGTGTAAATTATCACTGTGACAGAGGTAATGATGCAGCCCCAACACCTTCTGTTTTATCCTTCCTCGACGGCGGCAGAAGTGACGGAGGGGATGGTGGGACAGCTAACTTTGTGGTGTGCACTTCTGCCTCCCTCTTTCCCTCCCTCCTGGCCGGCTGGCCCCTTTTCCACTCGGGCTGGTCCTGATCCGGGTCCCAGAGTGTCAGAGGCCTCAATACTATTACACTGTGTTCTTCCCTTCCCCGTGTCCCAGTGTTCCCCTATACACGTCGGGACGTCCCAGTGTACCGGTTCTGGTTCTTCCAGGGACCCTCGTCCCTGCTCTGCTGTCCAAAATGAGACTTTAGGCTTATGCCGGGGGCCGTCTGGCATCACATGCACACAGCTGAGTATCTTCTGCCTCTTCTAGAGGAAGAAAAAAAAGTTTAACTCGAGGAAACTTAAAAAGTTGGAAACTATTTTCTCATGGCTTTCTTTCAGCAAACCCGGATGAATCTGGACAGCCGCGCTGTTCCTCTGAAAGCCAGTGGGACTTGTTTTCATTTTCCGTCTTGCTGCAGTAATGGTGTTCCCCCCCCCCCCAACTCCAAAAAACATTTATTCAGTCCCATTCAAGGTCAGGTCTTAACAAATGGAGTGTAGAACCTTACTCCTGAACTGCATCTTTAGCTAAAGGTTAATAAAGCTGCCCTTCCCTTCCTGATGCCGACATTTCCTGCTAGCCTTTCTGGTTCGAAGAGAAAGCCCCCCAGCCCCCCCAGCCGGCCTTTTCCTCCTCACAGACTGAGTCGCAGTCTCTCACTTTCTGCTTCAGCTCAAACGGTGCATTGAAATCGTCAGTGAAACATGTGAGCTAACATCTGGTTGGTCAACTGTTTTGTATTTCATTTCATTGTATTATTGCTGTTAATTATTGTCGTTAGTGTTATTTTGTCCCATTCCTCTGTAAAAGTGATACACCAGCAAAGTTTTGGTGATGCTCCTGGGGGTGTCTGAGTGCCCCTTGACTAATGTAGTCTCCCCAGAAAAAAACTTGGGGGGAGTTTTGCAGTACTTAATCAGTGCCACTGTCAGTTCAATTAGGTGCTGTATGTCATAGTCTTGTATCGCGTGTCCGCATATGGTGTCACGGCAGGGGGCTGTGACTGCCTCCCCCTCCCAACGCTGAGCCATCCAATGAGATCTTGCCGACGCTGAGTGGGAGGGGTGTTCACGTTATTCGTCAGGAAGCCCTGTGCCCACTGCGGGCCCCTCACTTGGCCATCATTGAAACAGATGTCCGGCTGCTGTGACTCGAGCTCTGAGGGGCACGCCCTCCTCGGGGGGGTGTTTTTGGTCCTTTGGGTTCCCCGGCGCCGGATTTTACGGACCCCTGCGTGCTCGTTAGCTTCCAGAGGGCAGCCACTTCCTCTCCCGCCATCTCTCAGCCCCTGTGACACCACAGAACCCCTTCCTCTCCTTCACTTTAAAGCCTGTTTTGCTGATATTTTAGGGCACCGTTCAGGTTCGCCGTTCCCAGGGCCCAGAACCGAGTCGGGAAACACACAACCTTGTCTGGATTTCTTGAATATCTCACAGACGAACGGTCTCTGTGTGCTGTTTCCATCCGCGTATTTATCGTGACGCTAACTTTGACCATATTAATCTTTAACGTCGGAAAATGCAGGGAAAATAAACAGGCCGGTGATTTCTAAAATGCTTGTCGACGGCAGGAGTGTCGGCGCATGCAGACAGGCTTCCGCTCTCTGAGGAGCGGTAGGAATGATGCCGACATCGCAGTCAAGGCGAGGTTGATGATACTGCCGTCGGCTCCTGTGAGCGTTCCAGCGTTTCACTCGAATGGCCGCCCAAGACGTCGCACATCTCGTCACCTGCGAGTGACTCGTAAGCGATGGGGCAGCGGGATGTGGCTGTTCCCGTACCGCCTTCTCGGGGCTCCTGCGGGCCGGGCAGGTTGGCCCAGGCTATTGTTGGCACAGAGCCACTCGAGGTACCGAGGCACGGCTGCCCAGAGCCAATTGGCAGGCCTCAGAGTAGGCAGGGCCAGAGCCCGGGGTCTGGGGCCGAGGCTGGCCTCCGGGCCGGGATGGGGCATCCTCTTCATTTGCCAGCATTATCATTTCTCTCTCCACATGGCGGCACCACCTGCGGGGGACAGAGAAACTGCAGTGCAGAGGGTGTACAAGGCTGGGACCCATGGGGCCGTCAGGGGCCACTGGGGGGTTAGGGACACGCTACCCTAGGCGGGGTTGAGTGGGGGCCCACCAGGTGCCATCTGCGGGAACGTCGGGTGGCTCACTGCCACCCTGCCCTCCCCAGGAGCTAGACTGGAGACTGCGCGTGGCGGCCAGCCCCTCCCTGGGGACTGTGAGGGACCTAATGAGTTTGATAGTCTGCTGGGCTCCATAAATCACGCCATGCAAAACATTTCTCCTCCCTGAATAAAAGCATTTATCACCCTACTGTTTATTCACTCACACTCGCAAGATTGATTGGCTCCCAGCCGCCCGCGGGACACTCAGCCGTTCCCTTTTTTTTTTCCTCCCTTTTTCATGGTTTTTTCTTCCTTCTCTCCCCCCCCCCCCC